TCGAGGAGGAGGGTCGAGGAGGATCGAGGAGGGTCGAGGAGGAGGGTCGAGGAGGAGGAGGAGGAGGAGGAGGAGGAGGAGGAGGAGGAAGAGGAGGAGGAGCCGCGGAGAAGGAGCCGAGGAGGTGGAGCCGAGGAGAAGGAGCCGAGGAGGAGGAGGAGCCGAGGAGGAGGAGCCGAAGAGGAGGGCCGAGGAGGGGGGTCGGTCTCGCTTCGCAGGCCTCCCCGGCCGCAAAACGCGAGCCCGAGAAAGAGAAGAGGCGGGCGGCGGAGCCCTCTGGTGCCCTGGGGCCCCGCTCGAGGGCCCCACCGATGCTCCAAGAGCTCCCCCAGTCGGCGGCACGCGATGGCGACCCCCTCCTCCTCCTCCTCCTCCTCCTCCTCCTCCTCTTCCTCCTCATCCTCCTCCTCCTCCTCCTCCGACTTTGGTGCGCGGCGCTGATTGGGCAGGGACCGGCCGTCCCCGCATTCCTGTAGGCCTACCACGGCACGTTCGTCGAACCCGAAGGAAGTTCGAAGAACAACAACAGTGTTCTTGGATCATAAGCCCTTCCCTGGGTTTCTTAATAAGCGTGGGGGGGTACCCCCCGACGGGGGTCAACCTCGCCTCGTCGTCGCGCCGCGACGATTGTCGGAGCGCCTTCGGCGCGCGCTGGCTGCCCGCGACGGGGGTCGATGTGGGGCTGTCGGCGGGGGTGACGCCCCCCCGACGCTGATTAAGAAACCCGGAATATGTGTTAAACCAAGACAATATCAGCCAGAAATGATCTGAGAGCATGCCATGCAGACCACAACATGCTCTTAGAACATTGTTTGGTGGGCCTAGAGGCGAGCCAGGACGCTTCACCACTGCTTGAGCTGGGGTACAGCCAACCCGTATAATGAGGATGCGCGGCAAGGATGTAAGGGCCTTGGAGGGCCATAGTAACGTTTCCGAGCGAGGCTGGTCAGCGAAAGCTACAAAAAGGATGGGCCTGATGGACAAGGATGCAAGGGTAGCCTTGGAAAGTCGGTCATCTTTACTATGCGGGTTGACTGTACCCCGGGGGGGGGGGGGGGCGGCGGCGGCAAATCCAAGCGCGCAAGGTAGTCCTGGGAGGTCGGCCTGCGGGACCGGCACTGCAGGGCCACTCCTGCGCGCAGCCGGTCCATGCCTGCAGCCCCTGCCTCGCGGCGCGGCCGCGGTGGCCCCGGCGGGGGCTGCGCCTGTGAACATCTCGTAGAGCAGGAAGATCGGCAGCGAGACCGCCGCGAGCCCGCCAGCCTGGGTGAGCACACGCGACGGCGCTGACACGAGAACAGTGGCGGCGAGGACGGCGACCACGATGGCGGATACGACGATGGCGCTGGCTGTGACGAAGGGTGCCACGATGAGTCGCCTGTTCCCCCCCTCTATTCGGGAGGTGCCATGGGCCACGCAGCTGCCGCGTCAAGCGAAGAGCGTCAGCGCAGGGACGCAGAAGGGTGCACGGAGCAGGCGAAGGGCAACGACGAGGCGCGCTGGGCACGCGGAAGATAACACAACCTCCGCACTGTGTCTTTGGAGCCGCAGCCTCAGTGCAGCCGGCGTGCTGCAGGTCGCGCGCGAGCACGTTTGAGGACATCAGGCGCGACACTTTGAGTAGTGTGCTCTGCCGTTGTGCTTCCAATCCGGCCAGAAGATCGATACCTGGTTTGCAGCCGGGCCCGCACGGAAACTGTCACGAGGCTTTCCTAGGCGGATGCCCCGTGCAGCTGTCCAACACTTGTCTCGAGGTTGACCCGGGGAGGAACGGATAGCGATGTAGTGATGTGTACAAAGGTATACACATATGATATATATATATATATATACGTATATATATATATATATATATATGGTTGCGCAGGGTAGACAAGCCCCAAGAGCAAGAACAACTCGCCCCCCCTTGCTCCCCCTGCTCCTCCTCCTCCTCCACCTGCTCCTCCTCTTCCTCCTCCTCCTCCTCCTCCTCCTCCTCCTCCTCCTCCTCCTCCTCCTCCTCCTCTTCGCACTCCTCCTCTTCGCCCTCCTCCTCCTCCTCCACCTCCTTCCACCCTGCAATTTATGGTGTTGGTGGTAGTGGAAAACAGGCCGATCATAAGATAGCACCCCTCTGGCCAGGGGTGCCGCCAGCTTTCCGCTTCGTTTGGGAGCCGCACGGGGCCCGCTGGGCCTCAAGGAGAAGGCATTCTCAGAAGGCTCGAAGTCCCCCGGCCCTCTGAGAAGTTGTTAAAAAACCTTCCCCGAAGACGCAGAACACTTCGCAGAAGACGCGAGGGCTTCTCAGAAGCCCGCCGCCTTCTGAGAAGGCCTTCTCCTTCTCACTTCCCCCCTCTCTCGCCGCCGCGTGGGGGCCTCCTTGGACACCCTGGGGGCACCTTGGACCAGGGGCACGTCCAGCAACACCCGATCCAGCCCGAGCTCCCGAGGCGGATCCGGCCGCGGCGGCAAGGTCACCCAGCTGTTCTCGCTCGGCTCGGGAGCCCCATGGGGCCCTCTGGGCCTCGTGATGGGGCGCTCTGGAGGCTGTGGGGGCCTCCTCGGACATCCTGGGGGCACCCTGGGCCGGAGGCGCGTCCAGCAACACCCGATACGGCCCGAGCTCCCGAAGCGGATCCGGCCGCGGCAGCGCGCCTTCCGGAGGACCAAGAGAAGAATACGACAAGCGTTAGGTCGGGCATGTCCTCCTACAGGCGGAATCTGGACGACTAACAAAACATGCTCTAAGATAGTCACAAATAGTCGGAACATCGTCCCAATACTATTGTTTGATTATTTTGACTACTTCTCCTGTAGAGGGACGTGCCCGACTTAAAAAACAAGCGCCGGGGAGGGCCGCCGCGGCCTGGACTGGCCCCCCACATTCGATCTTCCTATATTGCCGAGAGTTTCTGCGTACAGCCGGCCCGTATCATAAGCATGTGCGATGGGGATGCGGAAGGCAGGCCTCGCGGCGCGGCCAGAAGCACGTGCTCTCGACGCAGGAAAGCCCCGCAATGTACCTCCTCCTCCTCCTCCTCCTCCTCCTCCTCCTCCTCCTCCTCCTCCTCCTCCCTCCCCCTTTGCTCTTGGCGCTTCTGGCTGCGAGCGTCTGAATGGAGTGGGTCTGAGCCTGCGGCGACAGCGGTGTGTGTGTCGGCTCCCCCGTGGAGTGCCCACATGCTACAGTCGGCCTTTGTCGTAAGCATGCGCGATAACGATGCAATGGCCTTGGACGCCTATGTCGAAGCTTTTCGAGCGCGGCGCGGCGAACGAAAGCGGTCAAGGATGGGCCGACGAGGCAAGGATGCAAGGGTCACCTCGAGGCGGTTGCCCATCCCTGCTATGCGGGCTGACTGCACAGCCGGAAGTATGATCGAAAACAAAATCAATCAAGAGCCCAGCTTCCGGTACACCGGCCGGGCTCCCCGGGCTCCCGTGACTTGCTACCGAAGCAGACGTTCCCGACCGCACCCATCAGCGTCCCCCGCTCCCATGCTTTTCCAGCGGCCCCGAGACGGGCCTTGGGGAGCAGCTGGTCCATGTAGGCGAGGGCGCTCACCCCGTCGAGGGCGGCGCTCTCGCCCTCGGGGCGGTTGTAGACCATGCCCTGGGCGGAGTCAGCGTGCGAGAGCGCCCGCTGCCTCGTCCGTCTCATGCTGCTGCTGCTGATGTTCCTCGCCCGTCCACTCCTCGTCGTCGGCCTGCTTCTTTTCATCTTCTATCCTATCATCTCTTCTTCTTCTCCCCTCCCCATCCCTGCTTCGCCTCCTGTTCATCCGCCTGCGCCTCCTCTTCTGCACCCTGCCCCGCTCGCGTTCGTCTCCTGCTCCTGCTCCTCTTCCTTATCCTCATCCTTATCATCCTCCTCTGTCTCCCACTCTGTCTCCTCCTCCTCCTCCTTGCCCTCCCCCTCCCCACTTCTCTCTTTTCATCGTGCTTGTCCCCACCCCCTCCTTCTCCTTCCTTCACACCTCACTTTTCCTGCCCCCCCTCGGTAACAAAAAAAGGCTGTGACGCCAGACGGCAGGCCGCGCCGGCTCGGGGGGGCGGATGGGACCAGCACAGCTGGCCAGATGCAGCCATAGCACGCGCGCTGGAGGCAGCGGAGATGAGGATGACGGGGAGGGAGGGAGATCAACGGAAGAAAGGCAAAGAAAAACGAGGGGAGAAAGGAAGGGAGGAACGAAGGGAAAGCAAGGAAGGAAGGACAACCGAGCGAGCTGAAGGGAAAAGAGAGAAAACGGAGGGAGGAAAAGGACAGCAGAACAGCAGAACCTGAGCAGCGACAGGACGACGAAGAACAGCAGGACTGAGCAAGCCGGACCCTGCGGAGCTCCGCGCGGACCTCCTGGACCCGCACTGGGCCCCCACGGCGGCGCCCCCGGCGCTGGCCCATTGGGCGCTCCCTGCTCCCGCGAGCCAGGAAGCGGGGCCCGGCGCCGAGCCGGGAGATCAGCGCGCGGCACCGCAAGCTTATTGAAGACACAAATCAACACACACAAATAAGAAGATTCTCCACATCTTCCCATCTTTTCTCGGTTTTCTGTCTTCCCCCCACTTCCCATAGTTTCCCATATTTTCCTGGGGATCGACGATGAGTTGTGTCTGTGTGTTTTTTTCCCTCCTGACTTATGTCTATCTCCCGTTTCTCCTCCTTCAAATGTCTTGGGGGACGAGGGGGAGAACGAGAAGGACGGAGAGGAAATGGGGTGGAGAAGGACAGAGAGGAGGAGCAGAGCAGGGCCGAGGGGGGAGGGGCGGTGACAAAGGGATAACACTGACATGCAAGATGATGGATGGATCAGACGAGGAGGAGGAAGACCAGTGTAAACCCAAGAGTCATCAACGATGTTGGAGTAAACCCTCCCTCCCCCAAGGTCCCTCTCCACAGGCCTCTACAACGGTTCATGTCCATTGAGTGAACTGCCTCGTGGGAAGACAACCGTTTGAAGACCCTGAAGCATGCCAAAGTTATATTCTCGGGATTCCAACGCCACGGATCAACCTGACTGTTGCTTTTTGACGATCCTGAATCGTCGCAAACATTACTCTGCATCCGCATAATCCTGAATCCGTCCAACACACAATTTTTGGTACGTTGATGATGGGAACCCGTGAAACTCTTGCAAATATCTAAGACGAATGCGTGCCGCGCTAAGGCGAGAGCCACATGTTGAAAAGAAACCGCGCTCAATCCGTGAAACTCTTGCGAATCTTAAAACGAATGCGCGCCGCGCTAAGGCGAGAGCCACATGTTGAAAAGAAACCGCGCTCAATCCGTGAAACTCTTGCGAATCTTAAAACGAGTGTGCGCCGCGCTGAAGCAAGAACCACATTTTGAAACCACCCGCCCTCAATCCGTGAAGCTCTTGCAAAGTTCCAAAAAGAAGATGCGTCACGCTAAAGCGAGCATTACATTTCGAAAACGACCCGCCCGCAATCAACGAAACTCGTCTCGTTTCTCAATGCAAATGTGCGCCGCGCTATGCCATAGGTCTCCAAAATGTGGCTCTCGCCATAGCGGCTATGGCGAGAGCCACATTTTGGAGACCACCCGCCCTCAATCCGTGAAGCCTCTTGCAAATTTTCAGGACGAAAGTGCGCCGCGCTGAGGCGAGATCTTGAAAAACACCCGCCCTCAATATGTGAAGCTCTTGCCATTTTGAAGCTTCAGAATCAGAGATGGTGAGGAAGTCTCATGCGAAACGCTCGGCCCGCCCTAAACAACTGGCCGCGGGGTGCGACGGGGAAAAACTATGTATACGAAAAATAAGTCAGATGAAGAAAACCAAGAGTAATCGAAAATCATGAAGAAGAATAGTAATATTAATAATAATAATAATAAGAATAATAATAATAACAAAAATAAGAATAATAAGAAGAAGAAGAAGAAAAATAAGAAGAAAAATAAGAATAAAAGAAAAAGGGAGGAGGGGTAAAGCACAGCGGGCAACGGAGAAGAGCTCCGGAGCAGCAGCAGACCTCCCCGGAGCCGCTGGAGATGACGAGACGCGTGACGTGCGTGCTAGCTGCCCCACCTCTGGCGCCCCCCCCCCGAGGGCCCAGAATCCCATGCTGGGGCGCGACCGCCGAGCTCCTCCCTCACGGGTGCGGAGCTTTGTGGGCCCCGGAAACGGCAGGGCCGTTTTTCACAGTTTCCCAAAAAGTGCCTCTCGAAAATGGAAGCGGCAAAACAACGGACCAGGAACGGCAAAAAAACGGCTCCAAGATTGGAACTGGAGCTTGGACCGGTCAAAAAACGGCGACGGAGCCGGTAAAAAGACGGCGTCGGAACCGGCAAAAAAATGGCAAAGCGGAACGGGAAAATAAACGGCCCTGTCGTTTCCAGAGCCCGCTAAGGTGTGGAGGCCACCAGCGAGGCCCCCTGGAGAAGCGCGGTGTACCTCGCGTGCGCTGCCGACGCGGAGGCCGGCCCAGCGCTCGCGCACGCCTGCGCTCGGCCACGCTGTGCTGCTCGCGGAGGCCCGCGCGCTTCGTGGGCACCGGCCGCGCACCGGCGGCGAGCGAGGGGGGGGGGCGAGGAGGGGCGGGACTCCTCAGGAGGCTCGGAGGCCCCCCTTGTCTGCTGACGGGAAGCTCCTCGCAAGGCGCGAGGGCTTCTGAGAAGCCCCGCCGTCTTCCGAGGAGGTCTTCCCCTTCTCGTGTCCCCCCCCTCGCTCGCCGCCGAGCGGCATGCTCCGACACGCCATGAGGAGCCCAAGGTTACGAGAAACACCCAGGAGGCTTCGCGCGGCAACTTCGTCGGCTTTACGTCGGAACCACGTGGATGTACAAAACAAAGCACGTCCGATTGAACGTCTAAACAACGCAGCGCGAATGTCGTCCCATATCTGATGGGGCGGACGTGTGGGCTAGAGAGGACGACTATTGCGCGCCAGGCGAGGCCTCGATGATCTTCATCTGAACCTACGATTGTGTTGTTCTCATCGCACTTAAGGGCCACATCCCAGAAATAACTTCGAGCACCCAGAAAAGTATCGAAACAGTGTCGGACGCCGACACGTGAGAACCTTCAAGTTTCGACGCTGCCCTCGTGCTCGAAAGTCTTTCTGGTGATCGTGGCTGCAGTGGGTTGGAACATCCTAAACCTGCGGGCTTCTCGCGTGCTCTCCTGGCGCGCCGGCAGCACTCTGCGTGCCCGTCGGCGGAGGTCGCCCGCGATCTTAAGCATGCGGGAAGCGGGTCCTGCGGGAAACGAGTCCTGGACCCGGGGGCTCTGCCCCCAGGATGCCTTCTTCATGCGGAGTCGCTTGCTCCCAGTTCCTGGGCCCTCCTCGGGCCCCGCGAAGCCACAGACGGCGAAACGCCCCGGGACCGGCTTTCCTCTGAACACGCCTTCCCCCCTGACGATCTCTCTCTCTCTCTCTCTCGCTCTCTCTCTTGCTCTCTGGCGTGGCCCGAGGTAGGCTGGATCCGAAGACGGCGGTCCGTTCTGAGGCAGCCCATCCGTCTGCTGGGGGGCCACATGCGAACCCTATGTACCCCTACCCTCCACGATTTCCCAGGGGGAGGGGGGGTTCACTTCGTTCGGGAGCTCCCGAACGAAGTGACCCCCCCTCCCCCTGGGAAATCGTGGGGGCAGTGGTGGAGTTCGCATGTGGCCCCCTGCCTGCACGACCCCGAGACCCGACGCGGCAACAGAAAATGCAGCGCCGCGGAAAATCCCCACGGGAGCCCCGGACCCTGTCTCCCTGCGTCCCCTCTCTGGCCGGATCGATCCGTGAAGGCCCCCGGGGCCCGAAGTGGAGCGAAGACGCCCGCCGTGGAACAAGAGTGCAACGTCAGGACCTCGGGCCCGGGGGCCATCCCCCCCCTGGCGCGAGGGAGGGGTCCAAGGGAAGGGGCTTCCCCTCGACTCGATTACGACATCGCTAGACTTGTCTTTCGCTGACAAGCTTGAGGAGGAGGGTGCAGGGAAGGGGGACGACGGAGACGACGACTGACGGAGAGGGCGACTCGAACAGCCAAGCCCCTCACACACGCCGACACGGTCGGCGGATCTTAGAACGAGTGTGACTCTGAGAGTGCCTCCTGAGCGCGGAGGGGCCGCTCCGTGCCCTCACGGCTCGCGCCTCTCAGCACCGCCGTGCACCTCGGCTCGAGGCCAAATAACACGCCGCTGCTGCCCTGCTATGCTTCGGCAGCGCGGGTGCTTGCTCTCGACTGTGCGCCTCCGCCTGTGTGCGCCGCCTCCTCCTCCTCCTCCTCCTCCTCCTCCTCCTCCTCCTCCTCTTCCTCCTCCTCCTCCTCCTCCTCCTCCTCCTCCTCCTCCTCCTCTTCCTCTCTCCTCTTCCTCCTCCACCTCCTCCTCATCCTCCTCCTCCGCCCTCCTCCTCCTCCTCCTCCTCCTCCTCCTCATCCGCCCTCCTCCTCCTCCTCCTCCTTCTCCTCCTCCTCCTCCTCCTCCTCCTCCTCCTCCTCCTCCTCCTCCTCCTCCTCCTGTCGACAATAGCGACAAGTCGCGCGATGCCATGCCGGGGGGCGGGGGCATGGCAAACGGCCGGGGCCTTCACGGACGCCGAGATGCGCTCCATGAAGCCCTCCTCGCGCAGGAAGCTGTTGTCGAAGACCTTGTCGAACCCTGAGTCGTCCACCTGGCGACCGCTCCTCGCGCAGCCTCTGTGATGGCCCCTCCTCTCCGCGGTGGTTCCGGCCGATTCGCCCGCTGCCCCACCTCACCCCGTCCCAGCGGCTCAGGTCGGCCACAACTTCAGCGGGCCAAGGGCCGACAGCGAGGAACCGTGGGCCTGAAGTGGTCCTCAAGCATGCCTGAAGCCCCAAGCGGGAATCTCCAGCCCGCTGGCCTGCGGGCACAGGAAAGCATTGAGGCCATGGCAGTCACAGGTTCAGTGTGCCAAAGTCTGAGAGAGCGGAACCATGGGCCTGAAATGCTCGCCCAACTCACCTGAAGCTTCGAGACAGTCTCGTGCTCTGGTACATACACGTTGGAGCAACGCCTCGATAATCTGGGCAGGGCGAAGCCCCGGGACCACCTTCTCATTGAGAAGCCAGGTGCTACAATGGGCATGGCATTCATCAGCAGCCCACCCACCATCACCAAAACCTAAATGTGCAGTCTGACCGCTGATGCCCACTGTGATGCCGATGGGGCTCTCATCCTGACACATGTTGGGCTGGACCTGCAGTCAACCCGTACCAGAAGGATGCGCGGTAAGGATGCAAGGACCTTGGAAAGCCATGCCGACACTCTGCGAGCGGGGCGCGGCCAGCGGAAGCGGCCAAAGATGGGCCGCGGGGGAAGGATGCGAGGGCACCCCTGGAAAAGCCGCTCATCCTTACTGTGCGGGTCGACTGCACGGTCGGAAATATGCCTGCTTGGCGTGTCGCGGCGACTTGACCTCTGCGTGTGTATGGTCGCGCCGCCACGCCGTTTTGGTTGCGCTTACTTGCTGGTCGCCACCGGGATCTCCACGCAACCTGGTTGCGAGTATCGTTTTGGGTTCTTCTTCTGAGTGGCTGCCCGCGCGCTCGCTTCGCTTGCCTCTCCTTTCTTGCTGCCTGTAGTCGCGGCCCGACTGGTGTTCGGACGGCTTTCGACCTGCCCTCGCGAGCCCGCAGACCACAGAGTGCCGCGGCGACGGCCCCGGCGAGACGCCGTGCCCCAGCAGCAGGTGCGCCGCGCTGTCGCCCCGCACCTCCGGGCGGGGAGGCCTCGAGAGGCTCGGGGCGCTGACGCCCGGGGGGCCGGGACGCGGCGAGCGTGCCGCGCCGAAGCCATGGTGGACCGGCCGGGGACGGAGCGGCACGCGGACCAGAAGGCTTCCCGACCGCAGAAAAAGTCTGCCCCTCCCCTGGCAGGCCCTGGCGTGCAGGAAGCGGGTCCTGCGGCGAGCGGGTCCCGGACCTCCGGGGCGGGTGCGCCCACCTCGCCCCCCGCAGCGGCTGGCGAGGAGTGCCGACCTCTGCGCCTACCTCTGGAGGGCCCTATGGAGGCCCGAGAACGGCAACAGATCTCAGCACCCGTTTTGCGACGACATGCGAGCAATGTGTGCAGCAGCATCGATCAATGCCAATTTCCCTGTGGACCCCTTTCCGTCATGGCGATCACTGCTCTCGCGAGTCCCAAAACCTCTGGCGGGGTCGGCGGACTATCACCGTTCCCGGCCCCCCCCCCCCGGACAACCTCCGCACCCCCAACAGCCACGGTCTGGGGAGGGAGTGCTCGGAGGAGAGCCAGAGAGGGCCTGTAGGGGGGGGGGTCGGGGGGTTGGTTGGGGAGAGGTTGGGGGCGTTGTCGGGGGTGTGCCGGGCGGGCGCAGTGCCTCATTCACTAGAAACCGCCTGCCACACTTCAAATGCGCCCCCCGCCCCCTCCTAACACGCACCACCACCCCCCCGACAACCCCCCCGACACCTCCGACAGCCCGCAGACAGCTACCCGACAGCCCCCCCCGACAGCCCCCCCGACAGCCCCCCCCGACCACCCCCCCACGCACACCCCACCAACAACCCCCCGACAACCCCCTAACAGCGCCCTCGACACGGGGGCCTGGGGTGAACCTTCGGAGGGAGCTTGGGGGGGGTGGGGGCTGGGGCCCGCTGGAGGAGTCACGAGGGGGGCGGGCTGGGGGAGGCATGCGGGAGGCCTGGGGGCGGGCGGGGGGGAGCCTGGGGGGGAGGTCAGAAAGATCTTAGGGGGAGGCTCGGGGGGTCGGATTGGCCCCCCTCGTCGGAGCCTCGATTGAGTGTGGAGCGGCACCCCCAGTGTATAGGGGCTGCCGAACAGACTCGCCTCCAACGCGCTTAATCGTAACCAGAGCTCGAGCTAAATCGTGTTGTTCGTCTTCGTTTTGTCTTCGGTGCTCCTCGTTCAGTCTTCGATCTGCCGATGCTGCAAAACGAAATCAAAACGAAAGCAGTCCACGAACTCGCCAAAACACCGTGTGTCTCGAGCCCTGGTCTGAACCTCCTCCTCGTCGTCCTCCTCCTCTTCCTGCTCCTGCTCCTGCTCCTGCTCCTGCTCCTGCTCCTGCTCCTGCTCCTGCTCCTGCTCCTGCTCCTGCTCCTGCTCCTGCTCCTGCTGCTCCTCCTCCTCCTCCTCCTCCTCCTCCTCCTCCTCCTCCTCCTCCTCCTCCTCCTCCTCCTCCTCTGTGGCCGCTAGACAGAGACTGCGTATGAAATTTCACGCCCCTTGCGCAGGGACCCTTGCCGCATGGAAGGGTGGGCATACTCACAGGCAGGCCCCCATGTCAGACGCGCAGTGTGACCCTCTCTGGTGTCATGCTGGACCTCCTCTCGGCTTCAAGCAAGAGGTGACCCTTGCCAAGAATGACCTTTGGTGCGAGGCTTCATAAGGGGGGGGGAGGCGCGGGGGCCAAACTCAAGCGCGCAAGCCGATGCTGTCGCATCGCCCCCGACGATCGGGGAGACCCCAGCGGGCTGACCACATCAGAGGTCACTCTGGAGAAGGACCACTCGTACGCGCAGCTGACGGACGCCCTCCCTCAGGCCTGGCTTTCGGGCCGGCACTTGGGCATCTGGCAGCCGTTCGGGACGATTCGGGCACCCCTCACGGTGAGGGCTCCGTGCCTTGCCCCCAAGGTCCTCTACACCGACTCGCAGACAGCGTTCTGGGGTTGACTTAGGTCGGGCCTGTCCCCCTACAGGGGGATTTTGGACAAAAGAAAAATAGTAAAAAATGCTCTACAATACTCAAAAACTGTTGAAGAATCGTCCCCAGACTATGTTTTGACTATTTTCGAATACTCCTCATGTAGAGGGACAGGCCCGACTTAAGGGTGGACCCCCGGAAAGATCTCGGCAAGGCGCGGCTGCTGGAGCGCCTCCCGAGGCAGGAACACCTCCAGGACCTCCAGGAACCGTCAGAGTGACCCTCCGTGTGCAGTGTCGACCCTTCCCCACCGCGCCCCTTCCTCCTCCATCCCCCCTCGCCGCACTCCTGCCTCTGTTGTTCGCTTCGCTGGCCTCGCGCCAAGCGTGCACGGATCGCCATGTAAAAAATACAGTTCCTGACCCCACGAGTTGGGTGTCGGTGGCGCAGAAAAATGCGGATCTTCATAATTTCTGTAAGATTTACCGCTATGAACACGGCCAATTCGCTAATCGACGTGTCAGGCCAAACTAAGCTCCCTCCGGCCTGCTCGGTGGATGCTCCTTGGCCTCCGACGTGCCCCCGCCCCCTCTCGGCCTCACGCCAAGGGGGGGGGGAGGGCGAGCGGGGGCGGGCCCAGAGGCGGCGATGGCCTCTGAGAGCCGGCCCTGCGAGAAGCCCCACGCGGCCCTGGAGAGGGCTCGGAGAAAGCTCCTCTATAGAGGGCAGAAAATCTGGTTCTGGACGAAAAACAAGCCATACCCAGAAAATACTCCAAGATAGTCAAAACATATTCGAAACATCGCCCCCTGCCGATGGTTTGACTATGCTTGAACATTCCTCCTGTAGAGGGACAGGCCCGACTTAACTCCAGAGGGCAGAAAATCCACCCCCATATTCATCACCCCGACAAGCGAAGCCGTTTTGGTAAACGCACCCATCGGCAGGAATCGAGCAGGGCAGGGCTTTTAGTAAACGACCAGGGCTGTTTCGCAAACGCCAATTGCCTGGTCCGAGTGGCTTTTCCTCCCTTGATTCCCGGGAGGCTGGAGTGGAGGCATCCCGAGCCTTCTCAGGAGGCCCGCGCACTCTGCCTGCCACCCTGGGCGCGCCGTCGAGCCACGTGCAGTCGACAGGGGGCAGCAGAGGAGAGAAGGAAGCAGAGGGAGGCGGAGGATGAGGGAACATCACGGGGAGAGAAGGAGCACAAGTGAGCAGGGACCGACCGTCCCGGCATTCCTATAGGCCTACCACGACATGTTCGAAGAAAATGTTCGAAGAACTAAAAGAAGGTTCTCGGAACATAACCCCGATGTGTTAAAACAAGGCAGTCCCAGCAAGAAATGCTCTAAGAACATGTCGTGGAAACCACCAGAACAGGTTCTTAGAACCTTCTTCGGTGTGCCCATAGGCACGCCAGGACGCCTTGCCACTGCTTGACGTAAGGAGCAGGAGAAGAAAGGAGAAGGGGAAGAGAGAATGGAGGAGAAAGGACGAGCGAAAGAGAGAGGGGGAGGGCGCCTCCCGCGACGACGAGAACGAGAAGCCCTTCCCTTCCCCTCCCTGCCCCCTCCTCCCGCCGCGGCGGGCCCCGTTGGCGCAGGCTCTGGGCGAGCCACCAGTGGGCCAAGCAGCACCGGCGCCGCAGCCGACGTGGGCGTGACCACGCCGGGCGTGGCATCCCACTGGCGGGGGCGGGAGGGAGAAGGAGAGGGAGCAGGAGAGGAGGGAAGGGAGGAAGAAGGGAGGGGGGGAGGGAAGGAGGGAGCAGGAGGGAGGAGAAGGGAGGATAAGGAGAGGGAGCAGGAGGGAGCAGGAGGGAGGAGGGAGGGGGACGAGTGAGGAAAGAAGGGAGGGAGGGGATGGGGGACAAAGGGAGGACGAGAAAGGCATGGGAAGGCTAAGGTGAGCAAGTACCAGTCCGACCAGACACGACACATTGGGCGACTCGGCGGGTTCCGATGCTCTTTGGCTGAGAGTGAATTCGACGGCGACATCGAGAAGCTCTGGCGAACATCCATGTGTCTCTGTGCCGATTCTTCTGACCGCGCCACCACGGCAAACGGCGATCTCTGTGTCCGAGGTGAAGTTCGCCCTGGAGTAAGGCCGCACGTCGGAGAAACGGCGCGGCGACGTATGCCCCCCCCCCCCCCCACGCTGACCGTCACGCCCCCACGAGCTTCCACAAGGGAAGCCGCGCTCGCTTCACTTGAGCGGGCCTCCCCAAACTAGACGAAGAGACAGCGGCACAAACATAAACGTTCGACGCCCCGTGCGGATTTCTTGGGTCCGCGCCAGACGTCCCTCCCTGGCGCGCTCCGCGCGCCAGGGGCGGCGCAGGAGGCGCCGCCGGGGGGGCCCAGCGAGGATCCAAGAAATCCACGCGGAGCGCCAAACAAAATATGTGTTTAGCGTTCTTCTTGTTCGACAAGTTGCTCTTTGCGCATAGTATAGTTAGTGGTATTAGGACTACTATTATGGTGCTTTGTAAAACTGCTATGGTAACGATTATTGTTATTATTCTGAATAGTATCATTCGCATTGTTATTCTTCCTACGTTTAGTATCATTATTCGTCTTGTTTATTATGTTGTTTGTCTTCTTCTTGTAGCGCCAAACATGGTATGCTCCTTGTTTTCAGGCTGCCAGACCGAAGAATCAAGCGACAAGTTCTGGACGGTACAGCGCGACTGGTTCCTGGGCACTGCCCTCCCCTGCGGCCCCCCCGGCTCGGAAGCCCCGGGTCAGGAGGCAAAAACTCCTGGGAGGTCTGCGCTGTGACGATAATTGGCGATTGAACGGTTCTCATCTATATGTATCAATATGTGTATATACATATGAACACATGAGTACATATTTCTTAGGAAAGAAACATAACAGCACGTTGCAGGATCATGCCAGACGAAGCCCAGGATGAGGCTGGATGAAGCCAGATTCAATGGGATCGAGCCGGATGAAACCAGATGGGTCCAGATTGGGGCTGGTGGCCGACCGCGAAAGAGTACCAGCGCCGAGCGCGGACTCCCACCTCCCGGTAGCTGCCCCCTAGGCCGAGGCGTGGTGGGAGCCGGCGGCAGCTCCGGCAGCGTCGCTCCGGAGGGAGGCGGCTTCGCCCCGCGGAGCTGCGCGGGGTGCACCGACGAGTGCCAGCAAGCGCGGCGCCAGCAGCAGCAACCTGCAGCAGCAACTAGACAAGCGCGTTCCACGTCTCCCAGAGTAGCTACTCGCAAATGGCCTGGATCCGCCGTGAGGGATTTACGATCCGTCACGTCGAGGCAGGCATGTGATTTTCGGACAATTGGGAGTAGGCACTTTGCGAGTCGTGGAACGCGCTCGGTGAGCAACAGCAGCAGCAGCAGCAGCAGCAGCAGCAGCAGCAGCAGCAGCAGCAGAGTCACCCTGAGAGCCGAGGACGCAAATCCTGGGAGGTCTTCTTGCTGGCACGATTTCATAGGCGATGCCTGCATGTTTTGTCTGTTCTTTTTTTAGCTGCAAAAAACATTCCGCAGGAGGATGCTGGATGAATACCAGGATGAGGCTGGATTGAGCCAGGCTGAACGGGATTAAGCCATCAGGTGAAACCAGCTTGGCCCAGATTAGGCACCCGAGAAGGGATTGAAGCCGTCTGAGCTTGGCGGCGCGCAGAGGGGGGGTTATGGGGGAAGGGGGAAGGCTTCCTAGAAGGAAGCTGTCTCTCAGAAGGCGTCGGCCTTACATCTATAGACAAGGCCCGCGCCTTCTCAGAAGCAGCGGTGCTTCTAAGAAGCATTCTCCCCTCCCCCTACCCCCCGCTCTGCGCGTGGCCAACAGCAGCAACAGCAGCAGCAGAGTCACCCGAGAGAGGCGGTGGGGACAAAGCCGTCTGTGCAGCCACTGCGACGGGGTGGCCAGCAGCAGCATCAACACCTCTGCGCTCCCGCGCGCACCGTGCGCACTGGAGGCCGACACCGAGGCAGCACACATTGTTGTATCGTCGCTCCCGACCGCGCGTATGGCGCTAGCCACCGCTTCTAGACACCATAGGCGCATGCAGTCGCTGTGCTTGAGCAGGGACCGACCGTCCCGGCATTCCTATAGTCATACCACGAAGTGTTCTTAGAACCCACAAATGTTCGAAAAACAAAAACGACGTTCTTAGAACATAAACCCGATGTGCTAAAACAAGACAGACTCCGCCAGAAATGTTCTAAGAACATTTCGTGGGAACCACAAAAGGTTCTTAGAACATTGTTGGGTAGGGCTATAAGCGAGCTAGGATGCTTCGCCACTGCTTGAATGCAGTCCCTGTGCTGCCGCAGGCAACACTGGATGTGGAACGGAGGGTCCCTCCTGATCCCGGCGAGCTTCGGCCACCAACGGGCTCCTCGACCCAGACCCGAGGAACGGCCCGAAGACCACTGCCTCTCCCGAGCCCCGAGTGGTCCTCACCTCTTGGCGGCGCGCAGAGGGGGGTCAGGGGGGCGGGGGGGAGGCTTCTTAGAGGGGGTCTGCTTCTGAGAAGGCGCCAGCCTGACATCTGCAGACCAGGCCCGCGCCTTCTGAGAAGCAGGGGTGCTTCCAAGAAGCCTTCCCCCCTCCCCCATACCCCCCCTCTGCGCGCCGCCAGATTTCAGCGTCTCGGCTGCATGATCAGGACACTTCCTCCAGGAAAGCTGGGGGGGGGCACCGGCCGTCGATTGTCGAGCGCCCCGCGATGCCCCAGGGCGCTGCGGCTTTGCCCGGCAGTCGAGGGCATCGGGAAGCTCCGCGGGGCACCCCTCGCCGGCAGGCCCGTCCCCCATCTGCCGCGCCTGCTGCGTGCCGCCTCCCTGCCGAGCCCCTGCCTCGACGCTGGGCCTCAATCGTTGCCCGCCGCTGCCCCTCCGCGTGGACGCCTGGCGCCGCTTGAGGCCCCGGCCCCTCGACGACCGGCCCCGCTCCTCCTGGCCCCCTGCCTCGACGCCCGGCCCTCCTCCTCCTCCTCCTCCTCCTCCTCCTCCTCCTCCTCCTCCTCCTCCTCCTCCTCCCTGGGCCTCTCCTGCCTCGACGCTGGGCCTCACCTGCAGCCCGCCGCTGCCTCCCCGTGCGGACGGCGCTGCCGCCGACCGCAGCGGGCATCGCCGAGGCCGTGCCCACGGCTGGCGGGGGCGAGGGCCGCGCGCGGGGCCTGCTCGGCCGCGACGAGGTTCGCCACCACGGCCCGGCGGACCAGGAGCTCCGGCGCCTCGGGGAGCTGCCATCGGCAGCGGCCATCGGCAAGGACGCACGACGGCGACGAGGACGACTGGCGGGGGTCGACGCTCCGCCCCTGGGCGTGGGAGAGGACGACGACGACGACGACGACGACGACGACGACGACGACGACGACGACGACGACGACGACGACGACGACGACGACTGGGGGCCACTTGGACATTGGAAACCGACGTTGAGGAATGTACGTGTGCGTCCTTCTCTCGCTCTTGAAGCTCCCCTCCACGCAAGCTCCGCCCCCGCACCGCCTCCTTATAAAAGCAGGTTGCCGCGCCTCACGCTCGGCGTAGTCCCTCGCCTCCTGGAGCGCCAGCAGCGTCATCTCCTGCTGCAGCGAGATTGCGCACCCGGCGCTCACCAGGTGCCGCTTGCGTGCGTACTCCAGCAGCTGCACGCCCTGAGGTAGAGCCGAGAAGGGGGCGATATCAGGGAGAGCGGGGGGAGTCCGAAAGGAGGTGGTGGGAGCAGCTGTTTTTGTCTGAAGTCTCCTGCCCCGGACCCCCGTCGCCATGATTTTTTCATAACATCGACCCTCAGGGGTCTCGACCCATTCCCCTGGACCGGTTTTTTCATCCTGGATCGCTTTGACGCCCCCGAGGCCCGGCGAGGGCCCCCGGAGGCCGGAAAGGGCGAAAAACCTCCCGTGATGTGGATTTCCCATTGCAGGAAGGGCCTGGGAGGTCAATCGACCAAGCGGGTGGAAGCCGCGCGACCACAGGACCCCCCCCTCGCAATATGTTGTTCCCATCCTACTTAAGGACCACATTCCAGAAATAATTTCGAGCACCCAGAAAAGTGTCAAAAGAGTGTCGAAACAAGGTCGAAACAGTGTTGAGCGAGTGTCTCCTAGGGCCCAACACGTAAAAACCCTGGAGTTTCGGTACTTTTTTGGGCACTCGAAATTCTTCCTGGTGGTCAAGGCTAAAGTAGGTTGGAGCATGATAAGCCTCGCACAGAGGGCGACTACAATGGCAGCGCACGGCACAGCCAGGGTGGCGCGGTGAGAGGCGCGCCGCCGGGGGATTGGAGCGGCGGCATTTTGGCCGTTTTCGGCCTCCGGGGGCCCTCGCCGGGCTTCGGGAGAGGCAAAAAACGACTCAGGACGAAAAACGGGTTCCGGGGAAATGATCCAGACCTCCAGGGCCCACGCATCGAACAAATTGGAGCAGCCGGATGTCTGGGAAGGGGTACCGAAGGAGGAAAGGTGAGGCTACGGCTTGGAGCTTTGAGGACGTGGAGGCGTTACGAGGCAACTCCTGGGAGATCTTCATCATGACGACTCAAGGCTATTAGGCCAAAGAGGGGCCACTGAGCCGAATCAGGCCATATCGCACCTGGGACTAGGCCGAATCCAGCAAGATTTAGCCAGATTCAGCAGAACTGAGCCGGATTCAGCGGGACTGAGTCAGATTCGGCTGGTTCTCGCCCAGGGATATACCAGCGTCGACTCTGAGTCTCACCTCCCTGGAATTGCATCCTGAGAAACGGGCTGGAACAATGAGTGAGAGGGGAGACTTGTCTTTCAATGGTGAGATTCACCCGACAGCAGCGCAGGTTAACAATCGGCGCGGATCCACTCAACAGTGGTCAGTGAGCTGCACGCGGAGGCCTGGAGCACAGAGTGGGGCGATACGAATCACCCCTAAGCTACTGTGGAAGGGAGGAAGGAGAGGAGAGAGAGAGAGAGGGCGATAACGAGGACAAGGACGAGAGGAAATGGGGATTTTGTCTGTCCAGAGCGCGTCCGCGCACGGCCATTCCCGGACCCTCACCACAGCCACCCCTCGTTCTGAAGCTGCGCGCCGTGGGTAAGGAAGGTCGAGGCAGCACGAGTGCTGAGCGGCAGCACCAGGGTGAATGATCGCGGGCAGGATGGAAGGCGGTGGACAGGAGTAGGTGGTGACATCCGAACCCTACCTCTCCAAGCCATCGATTCTCCTTAATCGATAGAAGGCGGGGGTGCTCAGGGTTTGAACTTCGCCACGTGTTCGACGAATTCCGAGCCCTACCCCCGCCGTCCATCGAGATACCTGAGTCGTTGATCAGCGAGGGCGGGGGTCGCATTCCGCCGCCGAACAGCCACCCCATCGTTCTGGAGCTGTGCGCCGTGGATGATAGGTGGAGCCGTGCGCCTCTGATAAAGGTCGAGGGAGCACGAGCGCTGAGCGGCAGCACCAGGGCGCCTGAGCGCGGGCAGGGTGGAAGACGGTGGACAGGAGGAGACCTCTCTTTTTCCATTTTTCGCCGACGACCTGGGATATCGGGTAGGGGGTGGTGGGGGAGGAGGTGACGGCCGATGATAACCCAACCTTGTCGCTTTGGGCAGCCTCCCGCATGCCCGCGCGCACCAATGCTGCGTACCACTCCAGGTCTGCGCAACCAACAGGGTCGGGGACGAAATCGGCCTCGCTTCCCCCGCTACGAGGCACGGCACCAGAGCCCTAAGAGGGACGAACATGCCAGATTGAGAAAGTGACCCGCATCGACCAGCTCACGAATCAACGAGCACCGCCTGCAAGAATGCTGTCGACCGAAACAGCAAGCCTCTGTCGTAAACACCCGGTTAGGTGAGCGTGCAGGAGAGAGGTGAGGACCATCGGAAAACTGCGTACCCGATGGAGCATGGCACGACAAGTTATAACCAGAGAATTGTTCACAGACCACATCGGCGCACAGCTTTTATGGTGCTGAGTGCTGCCGGTGTCCTGGATACTGCGCATCATCATCATCATCATCATCATCACCATCATCATCAGCATCATCATCATCAGCAGCAGCATCATGATCATCGTCATCATCATCATCAGCAGCAGCAGCATCAGCATCAGCATCATAATCAGCATCAGCATCAGCATCAGCATCACCAGTATCATCAGCATCACCATCATCATCAGCATCATCAGCATCATCAGCATCAGCATCGCCATCACCATCACCATCGTGATCATCACCATCGTCATCATCATCATCATCATCATCATCATCATCATCATCATCATCATCATCATCATCATCATCATCATCATCATCATCCCCGTCACCGCCATCGTCCTCATACTGATCATCGTCCTCATTACGGCTGCCCTCCAGCCTGGAGACACGAGGTGGCACTTAGGACGGCCTCCCGGCCCCCCTGGAACGGTCGCCAAGCAGGCTACTGGGCCGGCACGCTGGGGCGCCGAAGAATGCCGACGGCTACCTGGTAGAGTCTGTATTCGAATAACAGAAGAGGAGAAAACGCCATAAACATAAACTTTTGGCGCTCCGCGCGGATTCCTTGGATCTGCGCTGGGCGCGCGGAGCGCGCCAGTGGCGGCGCCCGAGGCGCCGCCGGGGGGCCCAGCGCGGATCCAAGAAATCCGCGTGGAGCGCCAAAAGTTTAGCTTTTCAAATGGCGTGTTTCCTGCTTCGATACTTAAGGGACCCTCCCCATTGAGGCGGATGTCAGATGGATTCTTCTTGCAGCGGATGCTACAGGGAGAGAGAGAGAGAGGGGAAAATAAGAGAGAGAGAGAGAGAGAGAACGAGGGAAGGAACGCAACGTAACAGTGAGACGAACCCCTGATGTATCTGCGAGAACCTTGACGCGAGCCTTGTTCCAGGGGGCGGAGATACAACCCTTATCCCCCTCTCCCGATTCTTCTGGATGAGAAATAAACCATACCCCAAAAACTACCCTCACAATAGCCAACAACTATTAAAAACCATCGACCCCATAGTATTGCTTGACTATTTTGGAATCCCCCTACAGGCCCGACTTAACCCGTACCCCCACCCCTCCTTAAGACGCAACTACTGGGAGGTCTTCGTCGGAAGAATTAAGGAGGACTCAGCCGATTTGGGGGGCTGTTACACCGGAGAGGGCCTCGGATTGAGCGGGATTGAGCGCGATGAAACGGGATTCAGTCGGATTAAGCGGGATTCAGCGGGCTTAAGCTGGATTGCGGACCAGGGCAAAAGCAGAACTTGACCTCCCTTGAGTTGCATCCGAACCCTCCCTGCTCGCGGACGGGCGCCTGCACCCCTCCCGGGGCGCCGTGGGCGGCCCTGCCCCCGAGCGCGGAGGGCTGCCGGGTGCCTGCCTGGCGCTCCGCGTGGCGTCCAGCAAAACGCCCCGCCGGCGTTCCGCGAGGGTTTAAAGTCGGGCCTGCCCCTCAACAAAAAACAATCAGGGGACGGTTTTCTGTGTATTTTGACCATTCTTGCGTATTGTTGGACTGTGTCTTGTTTTTCGCCCCAAATCCGCCTGTGGGGGGACATGCCCGGCTTAACACGAGGGCCCAGGCAGGCCACCAAGGCCGTGCCGCAACCTGTGGCCCCGGATGCATCCAAAACGGCCCAAGATGGCTCGAAGACGACCCAACACTGCGCCGCAGCGGGCCACGACGCCCCTCGGATGGCCCACGAGAGCTCCACGAGGAGCTCCAGCAGGACCCGATGAAGCCTCACGTGCTTGTGTTCGACGGTGCTCGATGGAGCTTCGCATTCTCTGCTTCTCGGGCCATGTTCAGCTCCAGACGGCCCGACAAACTTCAAAAATAGTCCCAACACGGATTCGAGACGGCCGAGAGTAGCTCGAATAACTCTCCAAGACGGTCCAGCATGACACACGACGCCTCCATATCGCTCCTAGACGGCCCGTTCCGCCTGAAGACACGAAAGGCCACACATGACGGCCTCCCGTGTCCCCTCGAACACTCGCCCCCCCATAGTGCCAGGCCAACACGGTGGCGGGACTTGCCGCAGGCAGCTGGATGATCCGCCGCCCCCTGTTGATTCATCACAGGGGTGCCTGGCATGCTAGATGATTTCGGCTTTGGTTCTGGTTCTTTTCCAAAAGAACTCCACCTGGGGCTCCAGCGCGTCCCGCCGGGGTCCCGGGAAGGATCTCAAAACGCATCCGTCGATGCCTTTGTTGCCCCACGTTGGCCCAAGATGGCCTCCAAGACGAAAGATGGCCCAGGATGACCTCCAAGTTCGCCCAAGATGGTCCAAGATGGCCTCCAAGACGGCCCAAGATGGGCCAAGAGGCCCCCCAGAGGCCTCCAAGATGGCCCAAGAGGCCTCCAAGAGGTCCTCCGGGAGGGCCCGAAGAGGCCAAAATCATTGACTTCCCTTAGGTTTTTGAAGGCTTTTGGCATTCGCTTCTTCTCGGCTTTCCGACGACCCAAGACGGCCAAAGAGGCCCCCAAAATCGCCCCCACAGCGCCCAAGAGGCTTCCAAGATGACCCCAGAACTGCCAAAGAGGCCCCCAAGACGGCCCCAAAAGGGCACAAAGACGGCCCAGGAGGCATCCAAGACGCCCAAGATGGCCTCTAAGACGGCCCTGGAGCACCCCAAGAGGGCCCCAAGTCGGCCCAGAAAGCCACCCAAATGGCTTCCGACGGCGTCAGACGGGTCAGGAGCCCACCAAGATGGCCGAAGTTGGCTCGAGGCTTGCCCAAGACGGCCCAAGAGGCCTCCAGCCAGAGAAGGCCAAAAACATATATTTTCCACGGTTTTTGAATCATGTTGACATTTGTTTCTTTTCGGCCTTCCGACGGCCGGATACAGCCCAAGAGCCCCCAAAGATCGCTCAAAGATAGCCAAAGAGGCTTCCAAGATGGCCCCAGAACGGCCTAAGAGGCCCCCAAGAACGCCCCAAGAGGCCCCCAAGACGGCCCAGGAGGCGTTCACAAGCCCAAGATGGCCTCCAAGATGGCCCCTGAGCACTCCGAGAGGGCCCCAAGTCGGCCCAGAAAGCCACCCAAACGGCTTCGACGGCGTCGGACGGGCCAGGGGCCCACCCAAGTCGGCCCAGAGAGGCACCCCAAACGGCTTCCGACGGCGTCAGGCGGGCCAGGAGCCCACCAAGATGGCCGAAGTTGGCTCGAAGCTGGCCCAAGACGGCCCAAGAGGCCTCCAAGAGGGCCTCGAGGAAGGCCCGAAAAGGCCAAGAACACTTATGTTCCTGAGGTTCTTTGAAGGGTGTTGACATTTGCTTATTTTCGGCCTTCCGACGGCCCGATACGGCCCAAGAGCCCATAAGATCGCCCAAGAGGCCTCCAAGATGGCCCCAGAGCGGCCCAAGAGGCCCCCAAGAACGCCCCAAGGGGCCCCCAAGACGGCCCAGAAGGCCTGCAAGACGCCCAAGATGGCTTCCAAGACGGCCCTGGAGCATTCCAAGAGGGCCCCAAGTCGGCCCAGAGAGGCCCCCCAAACGGCTTCCGACGGCGTCAGGCGGGCCAGGAGCCCACCAAAACGGCCGAAGATGGCCCTAAGATGGCCCAAGACGGCCCAAGAGACCTCCAAAAGCGTCTCCAGGAAGTCCCGAAAAGGCCAAACTCATTGTTTCCCCTTGAGTTTTTGAAGGATTGTGGCATTTGCTTTTTTCCTGCCTTCCGACGGCCCGAGACTGCCCAAGTGTCCCCAAAGATCGCCCACGAGGCCCAAGACGGAGAGGCCCCCAAGACGGCCCAAGAGGCCTCAAAGACGCCCAAGACTCCTCCTCCTCACCTCCTCCTCCTCCTCCTCCTGCTCCTCCTCCTTCTCCTTCTCATTCTTCCTTCTCCTCCTCCTCCTCCTCCTGATCTTCCCCGCCTGCTTCCCAGAAGTGTTCCCCGAAGGGTTTCCACAATGGTTGGGGGAACCCATGGTCCGACAGCGTGACAGAGCTCTTGCCACAACGCTCAGACACATGAGCGCTGTCAAACCTCTTGCTCCCCCACGCGTTCCCCGAAGGCTCTCTGAACCGACACTGGGAACAACTGGCCCGCTAGCTTGGCCAGGCTCTAGCCCAGCTGTCGGCCACATAGGCGCTTCCACAAAGTCCGGGGGCGGCGGTGATTCGCCGTAGGTGTCTTAGATATGATTGCATCGGTGTATGTGCATATGCATAGTGTTGCATGTGAATGTATGTGTGTATATATATGTATAAGTGAAAATCAACGTGTGCAAATAGTGGTGATATATGCCATTTGCGCGCGCTCTCTTTTTGTTGTCTCTCTCTCTCTCTCTCTATCCCTCTCCCGCTATCCCGTTATCTCACTTTCCCTCTCCCCATTTGTGTTTTATCTGTCTCGTTTGGTTGTGTTTCTCTCTCTCTCTCTCTCTCATTGCTCCCATCTGTTTCTGTAATCAACGACAACCTCCACCAACGACAATCTGAGCCTCCGCCCGAAACTGCTCGTTCCGAGAGTATCATCGCGTCTGCTCGCTTCGCATCTTTCAATCCCGATCTGCATCTACCCCACCACTCACCAACTCTGGAAGCCACGGGGTGGAATCAGGAACTGCCTTGCCCAACTGCAGGCACCTCCTCGGTTCTCAACTTCCACCTCTTCCTCCTCCTTCTCGTCTTCTAACTCAGGAGGCGGAGAAGGTGCAGGATGGGGAGAAGGATGTGGAGGACGATGACATTAGCGCTCACCCCTCCTCCTGCTCCCGCGCCCTTCCCCATCGGCGGCCTTGTGCCAGGGCGGTATCGCCGAGGCGCCGTACGGGATGGCGGCCAGGATGATGCGCAACCTTTCGGTGTGCGTGCACGTGCCCGTGTACGTGCACTTGTACGTGCACGTCTACTTGTACATGTATGTGTGTATCTGTGTGCGTGTGCCTTGCCAATGGCTTCCACCACGGAATTTGCGGTCCCGACTTGGGGAACCCTCGCAAAGCGGCTCTGAGGTCGCCCGCGCTCGCGCTGATCGAGTGGCTACTGGTAGGCATCTGAGACACGATGTCCGCCTGAGCAGCTTGGCACACGGTGTGCCTGTGTGTATGCATGGTTGTGCGCGTGTGGGCGGGCCGCAAGGACCTACGGCGAGGGCACTGGATGAGGAACCACCATTCGATCAGGAAGCCAAGGTCTGGAAGCCGGGGGGAACTCCAATCGTGGATTGGCCATGGATGTCACCGCCGCCCTCATCAGATCAGGAACGGTCCAGGGTCTGAAGGCTCCTGGGCACATTCCTTGACCAACGTCCCCACCGTATCCCCCCCCCTCTCCTTCGTCCCCTTCTCGTTAGGTCGGGCCTGTCCCCCTACAGGGGGATTTGGGAGGAGAACTGAACAAATATCTAAAAGAAACGCCCAAAGGATGCCCCAAAATACTCAAACAAATAGTCCCCATACTATTTTTAAACTAGTTTTGAATGTTCCCCCTGTAGAGGGACAGGCCCGACTTGACCTCGTCGTCCACGTCAGCCAGCCCCGTCGCGCTCCGCCTTCGCAGAAGCCTCAGCTGCTCGGACGCTCACGTTTCGTCGCCGCCCGTGGTTCCCGGGGTCGCGGCCGGGCCCACCTCCTTGGCATCGCTCGGACGTCCATTGCCCGTGCAAATTTCGGCCTTGTACGCTCATCATCAGCAAGATGATCTGGGATGCTCCTCGATGGTCCCAGCCGAGAAGAATGCACACGCCCGAGCGACGCCAAGCCTCTGATGGATCACCACAGCATGCGTACGCGTTCATTGGCAATACCGTGCGACGCCCTGCGACTCTCCTGTTCCTCGGCCTCCCTCCTCGGTGCTCGCACGCGTCAACGCACGGCCCGGTTAGACCTGACCCTTCCAGGTGCCTCGTGGAGATTCGCTGGACCGCGCGCCGCCAGGAGTCTTCTGCACTTGACTTGCTCGCATCCGCGCCGGCGGGCTCATGGCGACCTGCCCCTCCCACTCTCGAGCTCTGACGACGCCAACCACGAGGCCACGCCTGCGCTCAGGATCGGTGCATGCAGTCTCCCTGGTCTGGCCAGGGCTCGAGTAGGAGATCGACTACATCATCGACTTGTCCCGAAAACCCGTTTTTTCTGACAGATACGTAGAATGCTGGCAGACATATCGAAATTCTACATCGTTTCCATAGGCTCGACGAATATTTCACGTCTGGGGCGCATCAATTATGCTGTCGGTCCCCTACAGTGGAGCCCCAACCACAAGAAACCTTCCACAAGAAACTAGGACGTCCATGGATTTGTGGGGTGGGAACGCCACGCCTTCCACAGCAAAGCCATCGGGACCGAAGAAACTCGGGGCACCCTGGAGGCAAGCAGGGCGCGTCTTGGCATGGGCCTCCACCATCCTCGCTCGAAGAGTGGCGCAGTCGCCGGCCTTGGGCCCAGGAGCAGCCTGGCCCAGCCCACTTGCCGGCGCACATTAGGATCAGGTCGGGCCTGTCCCCCTACAGGCGGATTTAGCACGAAAAATGAAAATACGATTTTTGGACTATTTTGAACATTCCCCCTGTAGAGGGACAGGCCCGACTTAAGATCAAGCCCCTTGGGGGGCTGGTACGCCAGAGTGGGCCTCGGACTGAGCGGTAATTGAGCCGGATTCAGCGGGAGTGAGCCAGACTCGGCGGGATCAGGCCGGAGCAGGCCGGCTATCGGACCAGGGCAGGATCAGAAATTGACCTCCTGGGAGTCGCACCCGAACCGCACGGGGCCCGGCTCCAGCGGTAACTGAGCCGGATTCAGCGGGATGGAGCCGGAGTCGGCGGGCTCAAGCCGGAGCAGGCCGGCCTTCGGACCAAAGGCAGGATCGGAAGCGGACCTCCCGGGAGCCGCACCCGAACCGCACCGGGGCCCGGCTCCAGCGGGGCGCGCCGAGGGCCCCTCCGCGGGGCGGCGGCGGCACGCCCCTCGGAGCCGCATCGCACGGGGAGCGCGGCTCGAGCCGAGAGCCGCAGGTCGGGCACGTCCCCCCTGCAGGCGGGTGTTGAGCGAGAAAGCAAGAATAGTCAAAGAGATGGATCAAACAGAATCAAAGATAGTCCAAAATCGTCCACCGACTATTTTTTGATATTTCTGAATATTCCTCCTGTGGAGGGACAGGCCCGACTTGACGCGAGCCCCCATCCACCTGCCAGGAGCGAGGAGAGGCGGCACCAACACCACTAGGGCGAGGACATGCGAGGAGGCAAAGGGGGTCTCCCTGGTGGTGTGGTCCACCCCTCTCGCTGGAGTTATCCCCAGCCTCCAGCTCGGAGAGGCATCCTGGACCTCCTCGCTGGAGGTGGGGCCCCTGGTGGTGTTGGTGTTGCTTCTCCTCCCTCCGATTCTGCGTCATGTGATTAAGCGGGTCCCAGGGCACGAAACAGGGCGGAAACGCCCGTTGTGAAAAAATGCATCGCTCAGCATGGGTGAAGCCGGTCCTGAGGGCAACGGGTCCTGGACCCCGGTGGGGTCTCCCAAAACGAATTCTTAATCCTGAGCCGTTTCCTGACGGTCCGTGGAGGGCCCCGAGAGCCCGACAACGGCGAAGAACCGCAGGGCCCGGCTCCCCCACGGCGCATCGCCAAGATCTCAGGGGCTGCGCGCTGTCGGCGAGCGCGAGCCTGCAGGCGACCGCGTCGGCGTGGAAGTCCGTCTCCAGGAGGTTGAGGCGGGCCCACAGCTGCCTCTCCTCGCGGCAGGGGGTCGCGGTGCGCCCGCCCCGGGGAGCCTGCCGCTGCGGGGGGGCGGGAGGCCCCCCGCACAGGAGAGGCCATGGTTCCTCCTCCTCCTCCTCCTCCTCCTCCTCTTCCTCTTCCTCTTCCTCTTCCTCCTCCTCCTCCTCCTCCTCCTCCTGCTCCTCCTCCTCCGGCTTCTTTGCCTAGCTATGGGGGCGCCGATTCCTTCGCCTCCTCCTCCTTCTCCGTCTCCTCCTCCTCCTCCTCCTCCTCCTCCTCCTCCAGGAGTGTCTGCAGCAGGCGACCCCCACAAGAGCTGAGCGTTCGAGCCGAACTGATCGAGGGCTATGGCCGAAGTGCTGCACGCAGGCCCAGCAGGCCAGCCGAGCACTCAAGGGGCTCCGGTGCTGATGCAAGTTGGAGTTTGGGACACTGTCCTGGGACCCTTTACTCTGACCCTCACAGTCGGACCTGGGACAGAAGAACATCCTTCAAGAACCTGAGACCCTCCGCCGGCCAAAATGAAGAGCATTCGAGGGTACCCTCCCCAACAATGCACAAGAACATCCAACAAAGACGAAGAACATGAGTGAGGGTACCATCCCCGAGCCGACCTCGATCTTATACCTCGGTCTGACTGCACTCTTACTCTTACTCGTCCTACTCCTCTTCCTTCTCTCGGGCCCTTCGGGAGGCCCTCGGCGATCGTCGGAGGCCTTCGGTGACCTTCCTGAGGCCACCAACGGCCCCCTCGGCGGCCCTTCGGCGGCCCCTCGGCCGGCCCCTCGCCGGCCCTCAACGACGAGGTTCCAGGAGGAGGAAGAGAAGGAGGAGAAGGAGGAGGAGGAGGAGCAGGACGACGAGGAGAAGGGGAGGGACGAACCACAGTCTGAGAACAGGCCCACTGCGCGATCGGCGCAAACTCTGGCTCTGCTTCCGGGACTGTGGCCGTGAGGATAGCATAAAAGCCCGATTCACAACGCGAAGAAGCTTTATTTCTCCCTCGTTATCCTTATACATGTGTGTATATATATATATATATATATATATATATATCGCTCTCTCTCTCTCTCTCTCTGCGCCTTGCTTGTTGTTGTTCCTCTATGTACGCCTACATAGATATATACCTACCTATCTACCTACCTACCTACATACATACATACATACATATATATACATACATGCATACATACATACATGCATGCATGCATACATATATACATACACACATACACACATACACGCATACACACTTACACACATACACACATGCACACATACACACAACCATGCATGCATGCATACTTACATGCATCCATATATGCATGCATGCATGCATGCATGCCTGTGTACATACAGTTGTACATACATGCATACATACATGCATACATAGAGACAGACAGACAGACATACTTACATGCACACATGCATACATACATGAATACAAGCATACATACATGCAAACAAAACACATACATGCACACGTGCATGTGCACATGTAGCCACGGTTGCGTGCACATATACATACGAACATACATGCATACATCCATACATGCATACATACGTACACACAAACATACATACACACTTACACACATACCATACACACATACATACATACATACATACATACATACATACATACATACATACGTACGTACATACATACATACATTGAAACAGACAGACATAAATACTTACATGCACGCATGCACACATACATACATGCATGCATGCATGCATACATACATACATGCATGCACACGTTCATGCACACGCGTAGCCACAGTTAAGTGCACACATACATACAAACATACATGCATACATACATACATGCATACATACATACACATACATACGTGCATGCAGACATACACGCATGCAAAACAGCATACATGCGTACGCGCATACATACATTCATGCATGCATGCATGTATACGAACACACATACATACATACATACAGATCTGCTTTCATACACTCATACATGCATGCATACATACATGCACAAGCCCATACAAGCATACACACATACACACATACGAGCAGACACACACACACATACATACATGTATATGTGTGTACATGTACATGTCTACATATAGGGAGTATGCATAGCTGTGTATACGCATCTACGTATATAACTGTGTCTCTCTCTCTCTCTTCCTCCCGGACGCGCACATACAACACCGCAAACGTGAACTTGGCACGTTAACGAACGCACGCACAGTCAGAGACACATGCACACGCGCACGCACATACAGGAACGACTGCTCAAGTGCTGCCCTGGCTCAGTTAGCAGGAATCAACGCTCGTCGCTGCAGCGTGATACTGCAAGTTGCAGTTCGCTGGAGCTGGAACGCCAAACCACCTGCCACCTTTCGCCGCATCGCCGGAGAAGGCCAGACGGGATAAGCTGGACACGCAACGCTAATCTTGGCCGTGCGTAGTTCCCTCCCCGGGGGGAACCAAGAAGTACCGATGCCGCTACTCCCCGGACCTCTCCCGCGGTGTGTCCTGACCAGGATTTCGGGGCGAATCCAGCGGTGGCGACGACGGCCTCCCAGGAGGCCCAACAAAGGGAAGAAGGGTGAAGGGCAGCCGTATCGGCACCTTTTCCTCCTCTGGTCATCCCCTCCCGCATCAGGCACCGGCCCTCCTCGCTCGTGGAGACCTCCGAGATGGCGCTGGCCATGGCAGCGACCTCCGAGAAGTGCCAGGTGAGAAACCTGCGGCGGGGCGCCGCCTTGCTCATCCCCTGTCGCCTACCCCCGTGCTGCTGCGGCGACGAGGAGGAGGAGGAGGAGGAGGAGGAGGAGGAGGAGGAGGGAGGAGGAGGGAGGAGGAGGAGGAGGAGGAGGAGGAGGAGGAGGAAGAGGAGGAGGACGGGGAGGAGGAGGCTGCTGCTGCTGCTGCTGCGCATTGGAACATGGGCGGCGAGCGAGGGGAGAGGAGTGAGAAGGAGAAGTCCTCCTCAGAAGGCGGCGGGGCTTCTCAAGAGCCCTCCGGTAGAGGGAAACAACTAGGAAACACCCCCCCTGCCTCCCAAGCTCAAAGTTGGCACGCGCGGGGGAGACTGCGGTCGAGATGCAACTCATCAGACCCACCCCCAACTTTGCACATTGGGGGAAGGGGGAGGCGTTGACAGATGAATGTGGCACGAGTGCTCGCTATCCTTCTCCGAGGCCTGTCGCGCGGCCTTCTCACGGGTCTTTGGCGCCTTCGGGGAAGGCTCGGGACACTCCCCGGGAGGCCCGGCGGCCTCCGAGCCTTCTCCCAGAAGGCCCGCCCCCTCTCACCTCCGCCCCCCTGGACTGGGCGCCGAGCTGTGAGCGTGCCATGGCAAGACCGCAGCGTCTCGCTCTGCGCGTGGCCTCTCCTTCCGCTGTGGCAGAGGGAAGCATCGCGGGGCCCGTGTCTGACGCGTGCCCCAGCGCCGCTGGCACCGCTGGCGAAGCCGCGAGCTGCGGACAGCCGAGCCAAGCAGACTCGTGTGCCTCGTCACATGCTCCTAGCACCTCGGCCGGATGCAAACCCCAACATCGTAGCACAAACACACACACACACACACACCTGCCGCAAATGCGGTCCATACAAACACGCGAAGCGCGCCATCGCAGCGCGTTTAGAGCACCCGGAACCACACCGTCACGCGAAGGCACTCGTGCAGCGGCCCTTCGTTCCACCGAGGTATCATATATAACAACTGAGCAGCGTGGACGTATGGCTTCCGAGTGTTGGATTGCTTTGTGTGCCCAAAGACGCTCCAGCGGCTTTGTCTCAACACACCTTTGTCTGTTGGATCAGCAGCTCTGGAGCGCCACAGAAGCTGCCTTCTCCGAAACAGATACAGCTTCTTGCGACGGCCCCCTCAAACGCACCCCCCCACCCCAGCCCTGGACCCACTTCCGCCGCCACCTTCCATGCACTACTTTGAACCTGCACGTGTTCTCCCACGAGTCACGAGTGGTTGGGGATCGCACAATACATACGGTGCGCTCTGGTCTCCAGTTGGGCCCGTGGAAGCCGCACGTGATTAGGAAAACAAAAAAACGGCATGAACATAAACTGTTGGGGCTCCGCACGGATTTGTTCTGGATCCGCGCTGGGCCCCCCTCCCTGACGCGCGGAGCGCAACAGGGGCGGCGCCAGAGGCGCCGCCGGGGGGCCCCAGCGCGGACCCAAGAAATCAGCGCGGATCGCCAAAAGTTTGTGCTTACGGCGTTTTTTTCTTCTTCGAGTGATGCAGACCGCAGGCCTGCTCAGCCTTGCCTGCGCGCACGATCTCCCCGCGCCCGATCCCGAAATCGGGACTGCGCTTTTGGGTGGAAGCCCGCGTGGCGGCAGCAGCCCTCGCGCACATACGGTGAGGGCATTGGCCAAGCAACCATCGGATAAGGAACCCATGGTCCTGAAGCCAGTGGAGAACCAACTGCGACCTGGCCGTGGATACCACCCGCGCGCTCATCAGATCAGGAATCCCCCAGGGCTTGAAGCCTCCTGGGCACGTTCCCAAACCAATGCTCCCACCGCCACCATCCGCTGCAGGAAGCAGGCGGCAACGGCAAAAAGCGATGCCGCCAGGGCCTGGCCTGGTGCACGGCGCGGCAGTCTCCGGGAAGCGCGCCTGCCGCCGAGAGCTCACGGGCGCTGCGCCCCCACGCCTGCGACCCCGCGACAAGCGCTGCGGCATCATGTGCCCGTCTGGAGCTCGCGACAGGAGGCAGGAGGAGGAGGAGGAGGAGGAGGAGGAGGAGGAGGAGGAGTTTTTCACCGAGGTGCGCCCCCACGCCTGCGACGCCGCGACAAGCGCTGCGGCATCGTGTGCCCGCCTGGAGCTCGCGACAGGAGGCAGGAGGAGTTTTTTTACCGAGGTGCGCGCACGCAGGTGGGGGGCGGTTCGATGGCACAGCTTGGCTCCGGCCGCGCTGAACGCTGTGGCTTTCGCGGAGTGGCCAGGCCATCTGCCCTTGGCGCGACGAGGAGGAGGAGCTCCAAAGGCCATGGTCGATGATCCTCAGAACGTGTCTTGGCGCCAGCGTGCGCCTGCTCTCCACGGCCCTTCAGCACGGCGAAGGCGATGTCAGGATCTGCTGCTGGGGACTCACGCGGGGGCAAACACACATTAGGCCAACACACGTCCTGAGGGGCCAGCGACACTTCCGGGGACAACATAGAGCCTGGCGCACCTGACCGAGGCGGAAGGAGCGAGAGGCCCCCGCGGCCCCCGAGGGCCGGCCTGCACAGGAGGAGGTAGAAGCTCGCGGCCGGCGTCGGCGTGAAGGAGAGGGTGCCAGACCTCGGCGCTGGGGCCGGGCCTTGGCCCCCG